TTTGACATCATCAAACAGAACTTTTTCAACATCTTCCCAGGGCCCATATTGAAAAAGATATTCGAGTGGATAGTTAAGTCCATGGTGAGAAATGTTTATTATTGAGAACATGAAAGTAAATTGCACCAAATGGGTACCTTCAGGTTGAAATCATGGTGAGGGATAAACAAATGCTAAGGCCGTTGTAGGCATGTCAGGGCTAAGTCCCTTGAGGCTTTGGAGCTTGTTAGAATCCCATTTTGGCAGGATGGTTGCTCAACCTCTCAGAGCCTGTTCCATAAAAACGGAGATCAAGATCCTTTCTCTGTAAGAAGATTATGAGGATCTTGTGAGATGGACCTATACAGATCTTAGCGCAGAGCCAAGGACATAGTGTGTCTTCACTCAGCATGAGCCACTCTTGTAAGGTGACATTCAGTGCAGTGTCACAGCAACCAGAACTGAAGGAAGATTCAGAGAAGGTGACTTTCCTGCACTGAATGCATCCACCATTTCACAGGGGCTCTGTCAGCAACCTCATGGTGGATGATCAGTGGAATCCAGGCTGGGAACAGGCATAGCCTGCCCACTGCTGCAGGCATGGGAAGCCAAGGCAGCAGCTGCCAGGGGTGCAATGATAATTTGGGGGCTTCCCTCACCTGGGTCACTACCTCCTTCACCCCAGCATGTTGTCTAAGTGAAATCTGGTGTAAATGAGGAGTCTGGACCACCAAAGCAGCAGGAGGAATGGAGGGCCCAGAGGGAGGATCTGAAGCCTATGGAGGGGCAGTGTGGAAGCAGGGAAGTGACACCCAGCTCCATCGCCCTAGTGACAGGGGCAAACGAGGAAAACCAAGTCAGTCAGCTGGTTCCTAATACAGGAAAGGGGACTCTGCAAGCCAGAGCCCCTGGGAAATCACCTTCAGAAATTAAGCAGGGTTTAATATGTTAAACCATCAGAAGGATAAAGATACAGGGAAAGGGATTCCAAGTACCTTGGGAGAGGGGACAGTGGGTGCCACATCCTCTGCAGGGAGAGATTCAAATAAATACATTTCTTCTTCTGTTGTCTGCTTTTCAAGGGAATGGAAAAACACACACACTCTCTCCTCCATAATAAGTGGTTTGGTCTGTGCCTCTCTTGACTTCCTCACAAACAACCCTGGGAGCAGACAGACTTCTCAGATTACTCTTGACCTTGGGAGTTGACCCTTAGAAATGCATTCGACTTCAAGATCTGAGAAAACCAAACCAAACTCAACACAACAACCTCTTGTGAAAGATGGTTTATTTCTGCTGAGGACCCTGTTTCCCTTCTCTACTTCATTGTTGCTCCACAGTTAAGATAACTTTAAAACACACACACACACACACACACACACACACACACACACACACACACCAGATCATCCTTCTTCTAAAAACTCTTCACAGCTTACTACTGTCCTTAGATTAAAATCCAAATAGCAAACTGGACCAAAAGGTGTCATGTGATCCAGCACCTGCCCACCTCTTGATTCCACACCACTCCCTGGCTGTCCATTATGTCCCAGCTACCCTGGCCTCGTTCTTCTTCTTCCAGGCTTCTTCCCACTTAGCACCTTTGTGCCAGCTGTTCTCCATGTTTGAACTGCTCTCCTTCCTGGATTTGCATGGCTGACACCTTCTTGCCTTTTACATCCCACTCAAATGTCACCTTCACAAGGAGACCTCCCTGAATCATTCCAAATCTGTACCCACACCACAACTTTCCAGCACTTAACTACTTTCTGGCGTGTGTGTGTGTGTGTGTGTACTTACTCTTTGATTGTGTTGTCTGTCACTCCTACAGGGACATAAGCTCCATGACACAAGGCCCTACCTGTCCTGTTCATGAATGTATCCACAGAGTCTAAGCCTTGCCTCACACACAGCACAGCTCAGCTCAACATCTATTTGTAAACGGGAAGAATGAAGCTTGTACCTTTCTACTCTCTCTCCCACTGCCGTCTTTGGTGACTTAACCATCTGATTGGAATACACCGGATTCCTTCTCATTGCCCCTCAGTACCACTCGGGAACCAGCAGAACCATATTCTGGCCTTCATCCTCATGCTCAAGCATCTCCTGCTTGGAACCACTCTGTACTCTTCAAAGCTGCCACATCTTCCTAACCTCCTTTACCCACTTCCACTAAAACAAGCATTCCCAATCCCCAACCCCATTAGCTTCCTCTCCATTTGACTCCCTGAACTTTGTGGCTAGGAAGATAGGGTTGTAGTCATACTAGTGACCAGAATTTGAGCATTTTTGTGAGGATTAAGTGAGCACAATGCCTGACACATTAAAAATGTTCCGTCAACAGTTACCTGTCTCATTTCTAACACCATTACACTGAAAGTTTCTTCTTGGCCTCTGCCTCCCACCCTTTTTTCGGTTCCTCCCCTTTCACTCCTATTTGGTTAGTTATACTCTCCTTGGTTCATTTATATGAGGTAAAGTTGAGACCTTGCCAGGTCTTCTCAGTGAAGACTTCTGACTGGACAGAACCAGCCCGGATTGAAGAAAAGCTGAGGACTTTCCGGCTCCATGGGAACCTTGCACACCAGCCAGTGGGCTTCAGGCTCTGGCTGTCTGGAGTCCACAGGTGGGCCTCTAAAGCTGTTAGAGGCAGGGGACAGGCCCCTGGGGCAGGGTGGGCTGGAGTGATGTTCACCTGTGTTTTTACTTATGAGATGCTTAAAGAAGCCAGTTTCTATCCTTTGGGATCATCATTTCAGAGTTTACTATAATCTTTTCAATTTTTTAGACTTTCTTGTTCAAGTTCTCAGGAATCCAGAGAGGCAATCCTTGGAAACAATCATGAGTAATTCCTGGCCTGGTTCCCTGTGTGGAAGAGGGATGGAGTGAGCACAGAGGAAGCTGCCTACATCTCCTGGCTGTGGTTCTGTGACCCAGCCAATCTGAAATTGTGAGGCCCTTTCCTAGCCTTTCTGCAGCTAGGTCTCAGGCCCCAGATGTGGGGAATTCTTCATTTGCAGAAGTTCAATCTATTTCAGGATGACTAATGCCGATCACATACCAGATTGTCAAATATTTGCTAAGAGAATTTATAAGTGACTAAATAAAGGAACTCAGAAATGGGCATGACTGTTGACCCTCCTGCTACGAGGGATGGGCATGTCTGGAATAAGCAGGGTGACTTTATAAAATTAACTAATTATTTCCACAAATGCCCTGGGCACATAGTATGTGCCAGATACTGTGCCAGATGCTAGGGATACTGGGTGAGAAAAGCAGGTCCAGTCTCCACTCTCATAGAGCTCAAAGTTGGAGTGTATCTGTGGGAATGATACAGTGTGACAGGTGCTACTGCCAGAGGGAACATGCAGGGTTATCTATCTGGAAGCACAAGGGAGACTACATGTCACTCAAAGCACCAGGCTTGGAGAGGGCTTCTTGGAGGACAACGTGATGCCCCAGGTGAGGCTTGAAGGATGAATGAGTCAGCCAGGTGGCAGGAGAGGAAGCAAGGTTAAAGGAAAGTTTCCAGGCAAAGCCAAGAGCATGTGCAAAGGATGAAGGATGAGAAAGGGCATGATGCTCTGCAGGAATGAGGAGCACCCGAGTAGAGCTCCACTGCCAGAGATTCTGATTTAATTGGTCTTGGATTGAGCCCAGACTTGGGGATGTTTTACAAGCTTGAGTATGTTTTAAGGCAGGTGACTTTAATATGCAGCCTGAGTTAAGAGGCACTGGACCAGAACATGGGATGAAAGGGAAGGCGTGGTAAGAGGTTAAAGCTGGAGATGTGAAGTGGGCCAGATCACACGGGGCCTGGATGACTGTGTCAAGGAGTTTGACTTTTCTTCTCTGAGCACTGGGAAGCTCTTTAAATATTTAAGGGAACAGGTGGCATGATCAGACTTGCAGTCTTCAGAACATCTCTGTTGTGGAATATGGATCAGAGCAGGGACAGGAATGGAAGTAAGAAAAACCAGTTGGGAGGCTCTTGCAATACATGATGCAAAAGATAATCACAGCCTGAATTAGGCGAGTGGTAGCAGGGACAAAGAGAAGGAAATGAATTCCAGAGATATTTAGGAAGTAGAACTGCTAAGGTTGATCAAAGATTGACTGTGAGAGGGAGAAGTCAGGGTTGTCTTTTTTTGGACAGCTGGATGGGTAAAGTGTCATTCCCTAGGATGGAGCTCACTGGAGGGGAAGCACCTGGACAGGAGAAGCTGGTTTGTGGATGTGCGGGCAAGGACATCAACCTGCAGCCTGTTGAACTTGAGGTACAAGTGGGACATCCAAGTGAGACAACCAGCCAATAGATGGTAGCTTAGTCCTCAGGTAAAATATCTCAGTTGAAGACAGAAGAAGTCATTGGAAAAGGATGAAAAGGGGTGAGATCACCCAGGGGAGAGACTGTGGAGTGGGAAGAGAAAAACATGTCCACAGAACCTTGTAAGTTACTCCCTTCCTCCAGGTAGACAGCCCTAAACCCATTAAGGGTAATTAGGCTAAGTGGTGACGTGACTTGTCCTAGCTAGTCCTCCTCACATCTGTGAGCAGGCTTACCCTAGCCAATGTGAGCCCCTGCTGCTGGCCTATATTCGGCCCATCACTGTCAGTGCAATTGGATCAAGTTGATCTGCAATGAGAAGCGGCTGGCAGTTGTGTCTTGCACCTATGGAGCTTAGCTGCGGGAAGCAGTTCCAAATTCCACAGCTCTGCTTAGAGCTTTCTAAATACAGTGGTGGTTATGTGTTAGACATCAGAGACATTTTAAAGAAAGTGAGCCTGAATCATCTGAGAATGGGAACATTCGACAACTAACTCAACACAAAGGTCCTGGGAAGAATTTGCTCTGGAGAAGGGAAGGATGGGTAGGCAGCTAGTAATGCTTTATTCTAGGCTCTGTGCAATTGTGACGCTATTTTCGGTTTTCAGGCTGCCTGAATCTAAGTGCCCTGTTATGCCCTTTGATTCCAGAAACAACTTCTGTTGTGTTGTAAACAATAACAACAAAGCACTTGGACGATAAGCAGTTTCTTTTATTCCTAACAACAGGCCTATCAAGTAAATAAGGCAGGTGTTAGCCCCATTTTAAAAATGAAGAAACTGAGGACACAGCTAATTCCGTTGTCCAAATTGCAGAAAATATAATGGGGACTAAGGAGCTGATCCAGTTTCTCACTCCAAATCCACTCCAACCTCCCATTCTGGCTCCCATCTCTTCAAAAAGGGCCTTTTTGACCCACTCCAGAGATGAGCTGCAAGAGAGCTTCTTTGAAAAGAAGCTTGGCGAGTAGTTCCTGTGATAGGTCTCTTTCTGACTTTTCCCTTTGTTCTTAATCTCATTCTAGCATAAATCACATATGCCCAATACCAAAAAGTTTGAAGACAGATACCTGGAGTGTGTGGGGGAACCCAAAGAATTATAGACCTTCAGGACTGGAAAGGATCAATGGGTCATTTACTTTAACCCCAAATGTTCAGATGGGAGAAAGTGAGAGGAAGATAGCCTGTGCGCACTCACCTAGCCAACTGTGGCAATCAGGAGACCCAAAGTCTAGCCTGCTGATGTACACCCAAAGAGCAGTGTGAAAATAACCTCAGACTTGGAGCACTGAAACAAAGAAACAGAACCAAAATCTCTGGGGGAATAAAGAGGTGACCTAAAAACAGTACACACTCTGCGATGCATTCCCTTTTTCTTTTGAATATGTTTTTATAGGGCTCTGATTGAGAAAGTTAATTAGGGACATTATTATGGTACTCTCTTTCCCTTGTCTTTGACTAAAGTCATGGGAGGAGGTAGGTGGAAGTGCCCAGCAGGTAGAGTGGGTGGAATTGGGAAATTGCTCTGTAAGATTCAAGTTGGTGACAATGGGATTGTTGGTTCCACCAGTTTATTATTCACTAGTCACTAGAATTAAATGTAATAATAGCTTGCATTTGCATAGTATATTCTAATTTACAAAGGGCTTTTATGACATTATCTCATTTGATCCCACTGATAACCTTGTAAGGTAGACAAGGCAGGTATAATTATCCCACTTTATGGACGACAGAACTGAGGCCCAGAGAAGTGAAATGACTTGACCCAGCACATTCAGTTATTAAACAGAGTCTGGACTAGAAACCAGGCATTCTTCCCTACAGAGCTTCAAATCTGCAAAGGTCACACAGCTAAGTAAGTTGGACTTGTATCCTAGGGAAGCCACCTCAGAGCATGTGCTTTTGCCTACCATGTTTTTCTAGTCATTCAACAGAGATTTGTTGATTGTGTCTTGTTTTCTTAGTTTCCTGCTCACTGTACATATAATTCGTGTGCTCTTACTGAGGCAGGTGCTCATTAGTGAAGGCATGCTTGGTAAAGGCTTCGAGAACCCTCTCCATACCTCAGCAAACACAAACCTGTGGCCTAATTCCAAGAGTCCCCATAAGCACTAATTGCAGGGAAGATGAACCAAGAGAAGACTAACATACAAGCCCTGACCCCACCTCCCATAGCCTTTAGACTCTGGGCTCATGAAAAGCTGATGCACTACATGTCCGGCCTGGGTCTAACCGGAAGTGAGGAAGCCAGAAGACCATTTTACCCAGCAGTCCTTTGTGTTATCCTATCCCTTGCTATGCTAGCTTTTCTTGGTAAAATTAGTAGCAGCTGTTGGCTAGTCTTGAAAATTGTCTACCCTCGGGAGAACATGTCACAAAGTACACAGGGCCTCTTTGAGGCTGGACCCCTGGGACAGGCAGCTCTATAAATAGCACCCGTGATAGTGAAATGGGAGATGGGTCAGAAAAGCAAACTGGCTGTCCTCAGGAATCATAAACCAGTGAGTCTAAGCAATGACTTTTAGAGAAAAAAAACCATTCCTATTACTTGGGTCTAACACTGAAGAGTCCCTTTAAGAACTAATTTGTGGGACACCTGGGGGGCTCAGTCAGTTAAGCGTCCAACTTTGGCTCAGGTCATGATCTCATGGTTCATGGGTTCGAGCCCCTCGTTGGGCTCTGTGCTGACAGCTAGCTCAGAGCCTGGAAACTGCTTTGGAATCTGTGTCTCCCTCTCTCTCTGACCCTCCCCTACTCACACTGCTCTCTCTCAGAAATAAATAAAACATTAAAAAAAAGAACTAATTTATAGAAGACGGTTGCACTGCTTTAGCTACTAAAGGAACTGAAGTTTGGTTCCGGGTTATGTTACATGAGTAAAACTTACAGAAATGTGCTTGTTCTCAAATGTTCCTATCCCACTCCTCTACCATCACATCCAAGAGGCCTCTCTTAGTACCATGTCCCTTCCCTACATCTATTTTTAATGAAAAAAAAATTTTCGTTAGGATTGCAAAAGCAGTTTGTGCCAGTCAAGAATGTCAAAAACTATATAAATGTATAACTAAGAATGTAAAGTGCCTTTCAATCTCTAGCCCAGAGATAACAAGTGTTAACAGTCAAAGTCTCCTTTAGTTTGGAGGCTCTTGCAGGGATTCACACGAAAGGTAAAGCATGCGGGGAGAAGGTATGATGAGGCAGGGGCAGATACAAAGTGGCTCCAAAGTGAAATCAACAGGAAGGTGGGAAAAGAGTAAGGTAAGGAAAATTCGCCCTTGTCTTTGAGCAAAGGTGAGTGAAACGAAGTTGTCTCATTGAATAACAGGGGAAGATGCTTAGTCTGTCAAGCCTTGGTGGTCATCTTGTGTCAGTTATTATTCTAGGAGCCACAGCTACAAATGCTCAAAGGCCTGCACTTAACCTCGCAGATGTGCTGTTAAGTATTTCAAATTCAGACTACTTTAGCATCTCAACAGAAATTAAAGGCTGGGAGGGAGGGAGAAATTTCAAATGTAGAAAGCACTCATCTATTTGAGGGACCTGAGGTTTTCAGTCATCACCTTGAAGCAGCTGCTTGGAACATATTATCTCCGGAATCCACATTTTCTGTAAACTTACCCATAACCTTCTCAAGGTATAAACACTCCACAATTAGTGCAAAATCAGCTTCGGCAAAATGCAACTTGAGCCAAACACACATCTGAAAGCTAAGGTGAGACTGTTTTAAGTTACAAATGTGAACTCTGTCAGCCTACTTCAGGGGTACATCGTCTAATAATTACAGCAGACCAAGACTCAAGCTTTTGACTTCATCACTCTTGCCACTATTAACGTTGCTCATACTTACTGTGGTGTGTGTAGCCAGGAAAAGTCTCACTTTAGGACCTTGACAAACAAGTCCCACCGGTCTTACCCTTCTTAGCAGTATCCTGACAGACCGCACACACTATTAAATAGGCTGTGTGAAAGCCAGTCTTATGCACCTTGAATGAGGCCTTCGAGGATAGTCGGCCCTCAGCCTTGCTGACTTCAGAGTCAGAGGGTAACTGCTGCTGACTTGCAGCTCTACATCCCTGGAGACTCCTAGGGATTTCCCTTCTGGTAAGGTTTTCAAGGGGGGTGATGATTGCTGTACTTCTCTTTCTTTTTAATTATCACAAGAGAAAAATAAGAGAACACTGTTACTGCTATCTGGTTATTTTATCTGATTTTACTTTGCCATTTTAGGTTTTAGGTTCGAATTTTCTTATTATAGCCCCAAGGAATACAACAAGGATCTAGGAGAAGAAAAGGAAAAGACAAGTTCTAGCATTTCTAAAGGCACCAAGTAAAGTCCAAAAAAGCAACACATAAATACTGAGTCCCCTCTCTCTAGCAGAAGTCAAGTATAGGCAGTGTGATCTTTTGTTAGGAAGTTGTCATCTAAATGGAAAGGCCTGGAGTGAAGTCAGACGTGACTTGGGCAAGGAAGCTAGTTGACCATCTAGAGAGTTTACTAGACAGTGGCATTAATTAGGTAGAGTCACTAGATTTCCAGGAAGGATTCTCCCCTTTAAAGGCTCATAAATTGAATTACAAGTTCACCATGATAAGATCAAATGCTGAGACTCGCTTACCAAACTCACAAGAGACATACATAAAAACTAGAGTGCCATTTACTCTTTCCCATTAAGAACTATAACTACACAGCATGTAGGATATGTCAACTAATTCACATTCTCAATTGTGAGGGGGGGAAAATAAGATTTAAACACATCTACAGAATCCTGGAAATAAATCATCAAGCCTGTGCATAATTAGGGATTTTATCATACTTTTAGTTCCCCAGGAATAGAACCAGCCTCATAATATATAAGACTTGAGTGATTTCAGCATAATCAACCTTTTGGAACATTTTCCTAACTTTTGACTTTAACTAGTTTTCCAGAATAAGTCTGCCTTTATGTGTCTAGTAGAAACACTTGTTTTGAAAGGGGGTTTCACAGGCTCTCTCTTAGGTCATTTCCTCAATTACTGAGCTTATGCCTTACATTTGGATTCTCACTGATGTTCTTCTCAGAGAGTTGAGTTGAGTCAATTGTGAGAAAAACTGGCAGCTCATCCCTATGCTGACTACAGGATATTCAGTTATTGAAAGGGAAGCTGGACTAGATGACATTTATGGTCCTTCTGTTCACAGAGGCATGAAGGAAAAGGTGAGAAAAGTTGGATAGTTGAGGTGGAAAGCTAAGGAGAGGGCTGAATCTGATTTAATTCACTAAAGAAATTATTTTAACTGAAGGCAGAGATAAGGAATTGTGTATGCTGAATTTTCTCTACTTTTGTTGTTCATAGGCAAATGCCACTTTTGGCAACTATAAATCCAAGGAGGCTCTCCTGGGAGACAGACTAGCAGCTGCTCAGGACCGTGTTGATGCAGCAGCCCCCACTGTGTAAGACCCCACATACCATGCATATACACTTTCTGATTGATTCCATGCAGAAATTGGTTTGGCTTCAATTCCATTCGGCTAAGTAGGTTATTCTATCCAGTCATTCATTTGCTCAAGCAACTTTTACTGAGCCCTAAGCCAGATATTGGCATAAAAAAATAAGATATTGTCCACTCACAATCTAAGGAAAAAGATATATAAGGAACTTTTTTGCTAAGTTTATTTATTTTGAGATAGAGAGAGTGCCAGCAGGGGAGGGGCTGAGAAAGACGGAGAACCTCAAGCAGGCTTCATGCTATCAGCACAGAGCCCATGCAGGGCTTGAACTCACAAAACCAAAACCATAAGAAACATGAGCTGAAACCAAGAGTCAGACACCTAACCAACTGAGCCACCCAAGTGTTCCTAGAAGGAATGGTTTTAAAACAGAAAGGTTTGCATTTTGCTTAAGGAATGTTCAGAGAACTGAGGGATTCAGAGGGTAGAAGGTGTGCCTCAAAGAACTGCTTTAGCTGTGTCTCACAAATTTTGATATGTTGCATTTTCATTTATTTCAGTGGAATTTTTCATTTGTCTTGAGACTTGCTTTTTAACCTAGGGATTATTTTGATGGGTTTTGTTTCCCAGTACTTGGAGATTTTTCTGTAGTTTTTTGTTACTCTAAGTTGATTTCATCGTGGTTGGAGAACACACTCTGTATGATTTAAATTCTTTTTTTTTTTTTAAATATTATTTATTTATTTATTTATTTATTTCTAGGAGAGAGAGAGACAGCGTGAGCAGGGGAGGGTCAGAGAGAGAGAGGGAGTCACAGACTCGGAAAGAGGCTCCAGGCTCTGAGCTGGCAGTCAGCACAGAGCCCGACGCGGGGCTCGAACCCACGAACCGCGAGATCATGACCTAAGCGAAAGTCGGACGCTTAACCGTCTAAGCCACCCAGGTGCCCCTGATTTAAATTCTTTTAATTTTGTGGAGGTTTGTTTTATGGCAAGCATCATAGGATATAGTCTATTCTGGTATGTGATCCACTGGCACTTAAGAAGCGTCTATATTCTGTTGTCATGGTGTGGAAAATTCTATACATGTTGGTTAAATCCTGTTTGTTGATGTTACTGTGTTACTGAGTTCTTTGTCTAGGTATTCTATCAGTTATTGAGAGAAGTATATTGAATTCTCCAACCTTAATTGTGAATTTATGTCTCTTTTCATGTTTTTCAGTTTTTGCTTCACATGTTTTGTAGCTCTGTTGTTTGGTGCATACATATTTAAAATTACTATGTCTTAAAAAATAAAAATAAAATAAAATTGCTATGTCTTTTTGGTATAGTGTCCCTTTTATCATTATATATTGCCCCTTTCTGTCTTTGCTAATTTTCTTCTTATTGAAGTCTACTTTTTCTGACATTAATACGGCCAATCATGCTTTCCTTTGAATAATGTTTATATGACCTATCTTTTCTACCCTTCCTACCCTTTTACTTTCAACCTGCCTATATCATATTTGAAGTGAGATTCTTACAGACAACATATTTGGATTACATTTTTAATCCACTCTGCTAGTTTCTGTCATTTAAGTGATATATTTAAACCATTTACATTTAATTATTGATATGAAGACTTAAGTTTGCCATTTTATTTTTATATCCTCTTTATTCTGTGTAATTTCTGTTTCTTTTGTTTTGTTTTTAATGTCTTCCTATGAGTTACCTGAATGTTTCTGAGAATTTCACTTCTTTTATACATAGTGTTTTTGAGTATACTTCTTTGCATATCTTTTTTAATGGTTGTTTAAGAGATTAAATATACAGAATTTATCTGCTGGTGTCATCACTTTGCCGATACAAATGATTCAGATGATTAAATTATAAGTAAAATTCTTTCCCAAGTCTATAGCATTTAACTACAAGATCTTGCCTCGGGCACCTGAGAAGGTCTTGATGTCACTGAAATTGATATTTCAGTCCTTTCTCATTTCTCCAGCGGTGCTTGCTTGTGAAATCCAGACTATCTCTGACACAAGAAAAAGAGGTGCAATTAAATGTTTAGAAAACTACCAATTGTTCATGCTGATGAGCAGAGAGGTGGACTAGATAATTCAAATCCAGATAGAACTTTCAAAATCCAAATTTTAGCTGCATATACTAACCTGTTAAACTTTTAAGAGGACTTTTTAAAAATAGTAAAATTGTACTGTTCAAATTTTACCTGCTGATTTTATTCTTTTGCTAATATTTCATGTAAAGGGAGAAATGGGTCATAAATGACTCACACTGGATCATCAGACTGCAGGTAATTTGGGTGAGGTATTATGAATTGGCAGTCTGGCCTTATAGAATATATCAAGACTTAGATGTCATATAGAGGTGGGGTTGAATTCCAGCTTTGTTATATATAAGCTATGTGACATCTTTTGTGATACTTTATTTCCTAGTTTGTAAAGTATGGTCAATTATTTTTCCTGCAAATTTTTTTGTGAGGATTACATAACACATAATATACATAAAAGACCTACCACAGAAGATGATCAACAAAATATAAGTTCCCTTGCTATGTTCCTGTTGACTTTCACAGAAGAAAGCCAAATATCTGTATTCAAGTATATGGGTATTTCTAAACTAGGGCTCTCTCCATCAACCAAAGTTTGAGAGGTATGCTAAATAATATTTTGGTAGCACTAAAGAAGCCCCTTCTTAAAGAGCTTTAAAAAAAAATTTACTGATCACTAACTATGTGATGAACAAAGGGTGGGCACTTGACATCCTGACATTATGGCTTCCTTTGCACCCACCTTATAGTCTCTGACATCTAGAAAGATGAAGAGCCAAACAAAAAGGGACCTAACCTGAAAATTAAGTCTGGGATATAGATCAGAGTTGTCTAGGTAATTATTTGACCTTGAAGAGGTGACTTAGCTTCTTTACGGTTCAGTTTCCTCATCTATTAAATGAGACTAGACCTGTCTCTGGGGAACTGTGAGGGTGAATTAGGTCATGTACATAAAACACTTGAGGTCTTTGAAAGAAGAGCTTTTACAAACCTATAAATGGCATAATTAATGTCATCATTGCCATTATTATTGTTGACAAGGTGAGATATGTGTGCACACATGCAAACTTCAGAGTTGGGAACATTTGTTACAGAGAATATGAATCTGAAGACTACCCTATGGAGTTTCTCTTACCCCAGTCTCTTTATTGCTGGCTTAAAATATCCCACTTCTACAGAAATACTTTTGTTCACACAATTGACATTTTATTACCAGCAATAAAATGTCCATGTATGAAGTCCCCTGAACCATCACCCCTGTTTTTCACAATGGTTAAGGGTCCTTAGGAGTGTGTTAGGTGGAACTAGAAAGATTTTCGCCTACCTGCAGCCTTCACTGTAATGAAATACCTTCTTTATTAGCATAAGCAGCTAATATTGATGCAGTGCCCAATGAATTCCAGATAATATGTTAAGTTTATCAGCATTATCTCATTAACTCTCACAATGGCATAAAACACACTTTATTTAGATTTTACTCAGAGAGTACCTTCTTACGGAGGCTTTTCAAATTCACCCTAAATAAAAGGGTAACATGCTCCCTTACACCCAGACCTTTGATCTGGCTTTTTTTTCTTCATAGCCCCCATTTGACATATTTACATTTCTTGGTATATCCTCTGTGTCTTCCCTTAGAATGCAAAGTCTGTAAGAATGGGATGTTGTTTTGTTAACTGTCTATCCCCAGTATCTAACAAAGTACCTAGCACATGATGGGTGCTCAGAAAAAAATACTTGTAAGCAAATTAATGACCCTTTGAGTTAGGTAAGACTATACCATTTTGCTGATGATGAAATGGAGACTGAAATTTCCCCCACAGCCACACAAAAAATGGCAAAGCTGAGACTGGAAAGAAGTCTAACTGATTCTAGCCTGGCCGCTAACCACTGACCTCATGCCCCCCACTGCCTTCAGGAAAGACCACACAGATGATACTTTACTGCTATGGCATGTTTCTGTCAGAAGAGTCGTGAATAGAATAGCAGTGAGACAGAGGCAAAGGAATAAACTGGGGAAAATAATTAGATTCTAGTAAATTGTCCTTTTCTTCCCTTCCAACACCACTCGTACCTAAAAAACATGTACCAGTCAACTTTCTCTTCAGCTCTTTCTAAGCAAACCTGAAATTCCAGGAACCTACATCTCTTCCATCTTTTGTCTCCCTTCTCTAATGTCTCCATCAGTTTGCTGGGGCCACACGTTCCTATAAGGAGGAAAATAGAAATTGCATTTATTAACCATTTAGTACACATCACCACTGCATTAGGTATGCTACATTTGTTACCTCTACTACATACCAATTTACAGGCAGTAGGTATTTTTAGTCGACATTTTATATAGGAAATATACTGAGGATCAAGGAAGCTAAATATCTACTCTAAGATGTCTTAGTCTGACTTCAAAGCTCATGCTCTTTTTTTTTTCTTTTTTTTTGTGGAGACTAGCAAAGATAGAGACTGGAGTAAACCCACAGGGATTTTCCTAGTAGGATCTCCTCTGGTCCACTAGGAGACTGATGACAAATTCTAGTTCTTGAGTATGATGAATATTCAAATTGCAGGATTACAACATCAGAGTAAAATGACAAGATCGGCATCTCTGCACTTGGTTGAGGTATGTTCTCATTGTCCTGTGTGCTTGGTCCCCAGATGCTCTTCCATGTGGGAAAAACTAAGGTCCATGACTATACACTTCAGACTTTACTCTCTCCAGGTAGCATGCTGATCCTTAGGGGGGAAAATCCCGTTTAAGATAAATTATCCTAGGAGTGTAGAGTCAGGTTGTGAGAAAATAGATCTGATGCTGGAAGACAAAAGAGAAGGAGTATTGAGGGAAAGGCAGAACTAAGGAAAGGAAGGTGGTTAGGCTCCAAATCAAGGACAGGAATTGGACTTGACACCTTCCTGCACTTTCTACTTTTTCCCCATCATTCTCCTAATCCCCTCTTCTTCCATTCCCTGACCACCAAGCTATACACTTCCTGTACAAACCCCTCCACCCACCACCCACCCTCCCTTTCCCCACTCAGCATACTAAAAGCATCCCTTAAGACAGAAACAGACTCTGCAGAGGAGGGGGGCAGTTCAAATGTCTAATAAACATAAGAAAAGCTGCCAACCTATCAGGAAACCTGAGAAAAGCTGCCAACCTATCAGGAAACCTGAGAAATGGAAATTTAAAACAAAGCTAACAAACCTTGGAAGACTTTTTAAACAGGGGAGGAATGTGATCAAAACATTTGGTAAACATGCACCTTTGTCTGACTTGAGATTTTAATGCAGTGTATAATTCTTTAGATACATCCCGAAAAGCAAATGCTTCAATTTCAGAGTTAAATATATGTACCAAAAATTTACTGATGTTTTGATATTTAAAAATAATGTTGTATCCGTATAAAAGGAAAGCTAGTTTCGTAATTGCCAGTTACCTTCCTTTTTCCTTTTTGAAGGATTTCTTTTACCTTCGGATTTTATAAGGGGAAAAAAAAGATCAGTGATGAAAAAGAAAAGACAAGGCACATTCTACATGAACAATGTACAGTTTGGTAAATATTATTGAAACATATTTAGATATGTATAAATTCCATTTGATATGAAGATATATTTTTAGAGTGGTACTAACTGCCTAACTCAGAAACTTTTGAAACTGCAAAACTCAGAGCTTTTGAAAAGTTCTAAAAGCTGAAAGTTGGTGTTTTGTTTTCTTTTCTAACTCATTCCTGGCAAGACCTAACCTGACCTGAATTCATTTAGTGGCAAACCTGAACTGAGCTCACATGTTATATGGCTATTTATAGCCTTTATTTCCCACTTAGTATGAATATTCAAACATTGTACTGCAGAACTAATGTTTGATTATGAATACAGTTCTGCTGTATAACCCACTAGGCTAACAATATAATATACTTTCTATGTACATACTATCTTTCTTAAAACTGAAAAATTCTGAATTCTGAAAACTTCTGGCTCCAAATGTTTTGGATAAGGACATTTCTTGACTCAGGTATTAATAGCTGCATTGAAATGTTAAAGAAGAAAAATATCTTAGAGATCATAAAGTTCAACATCTTTCTCTTTTTAAAGAGTGAAAACTAGTATCGACAGAAAAAGCACCTTCAAAAATACAAATGGTTACTCATAAAGCTAGGGCTTTTTGTAAGACATATCTCTGATTCTATAGAAATTCAGCCAGGGTGTGGTGTTCATGCTCCTGCCTGAATCATCTACTTTTGCACTTATGATTCTGAACCTGGTTTTCCTCTACCTTCTCTTAGAGGCTGAAAGAAGCACAGGCCACTCTGTCTTACCTTTTGGTTGCTTGTCATAATTTTTTTCATGTTTACTGAACGGGTGTATTTGACTCCATTTGCTTTCTGAAGCCCTGTCAAATGAAAGTTGCATAAGGAAAATAAATCAAAGAAGTCTGATCAACCCTGTGACTTGTAGGAAATCCCTAGGAGAGAGAAGCATGTTGAATTGCACCGCTTGCAGATCTTTCAGCATGCAAGGACCTCAGACTGATAAGCACAAGGCTGTAAATTCTATGGAGAAAACCAGAGAAGATGGTGGAGAAGTAGGGAGCTCTGTACATTTCGCTCTCCCTCATCTCTCAAACAGAAAAGGCCTGAAGCCATAGGACACTGAACCAAGGAGTCTGGGAGGAAAAGAGACAGAGTCCACTAAGAAGACAACCTCATAGATGTGTCAGTGTGAACTGGGGAAGATAAAAACAGGAGGGACCGGAGACACAGAGGGAGGGGAGGGAACCCCCTATGCGGGGAGCCATGGAGAGTCAGAGGAAGAGAAAAAGCGGCTGAAACTGCTCATAGAAGTGTCCCTGGAGGGGCGCCTGGGTGGCTTAGTCGGTTAAGTGTCCGACTTTCACTTAGGTCATGATCTCGTGGTTCGTGGGTTCGAGCCCTGCGTCCCGCTCTGTGCTGACTGCCAGCGCACAGCCTGGAGCCTGTTTTGGAGTCTGTGACTCCCTCTCTCTCTGACCCTCCCCTGCTCACGCTGTCTCTCTTTCACTCCTAGAAATAAATAAAACATTAAAAAAAAAAAAAAAGAACTGTCCCTGGAGAAGAGAAAAACCTCGGCTCCGGACAGAGAGTGATCCTATTTCTAGCTACAGTGCTGACTTTGGACTGGGTGCCTGGTTCCAGGCGGCACCAGGAGAAACTGCTCCGCTGCTCTCCCAGCTCAATCCCCTGCTGGGAAGCAGCCCGACCTGCGAGGTTATATTTCAGGTGGTATCAATAAAGCTCACGGACAAAGACCTGGAAATGAGGCAGAGCTTGGGACATAGAACATGGCCCACCTTGGCTACACCCGCAGCACAGGGAGATCGGACCCAAAAGAGTGGTTTGCAATGCTTGATTCGAGAAGGGACTGGGGCACCGCCATTTTTCTCCCTACAACCACCAAGGCGGGACCTCACAGAGCTGCCTGCGGGACCACAATGGAGGCTAAGACCTGCCTACACCAAACAGTGCCCATCCCAGCTAGAGAGCTGCTTTTTTTTTAACCAGAGCCCGGGGCAAGACCAACATGGATGCACTACTGTGATTAATTCTAGATCAATTCTTTCTATTCAGATATATTTTCCCTTGTCTCATTCGTATCCCTCCCCTCTGCTGGACTGGGCACTCTTGTCATTGGTTTGCTTAAACAGTCACAATTAATCCATTCTCTAGATGTATATTCTACACCTCCACCGCTACCTTTCTATCTCTCTCTCTCTCTCTGGAGTAATCAGACTATATAGTTTCTTTTAGTTACATTATCTTCGTTTCTTTCTCCTTGCCTCCTACCATATTCTCCTCTTTCTCTCTCTGAATTAAGCCTCTTAGTCTCTATGCCTGGTCATTGTCCAATTTCGTTTTCTCCCCTCCCCTGTCATTTCTCTCTCTGTATATGCTCTTCCATCAGCACTGCATGCACCCAGTTCTTTATTTCTAGCTGGGAATTCTGGTTTTATGCTTTAAGACTGTCCTTTGTCTTTTGGGGTTTTTTTCTTTTTTCTTTTTCTTTTTCCATTTCAGTTTGCTTGTTTGTTGGATTTGTCTGTGTGTTTGTGTCCCTTTGTTCCTTGTGTGTTTGTCTGTCTGTTTTCCTTTGCAGGGCTACCTCAAGAAACAAGCCAAAGTACACATGGTGGAGAGTTCCAAATACCACTATGAGTAGGGAAATAAAATAACCAAAGTCTCAACAAGGGAGACCAAGAGACACCATTGAAAGAACACTTCCTGAATGGACAGGCTCTGGACAATCAATGAATCTTCTTTAATATAGCAGTATTCACAGGTGCAGAGCACATAACAAGCTTTTAAAACTAACAAGAGACCGAAAGCTAGCCAAAATGATGAAACGGAAGAACTCTTCTCTAAAGAAATTCCAGGAAGAAATGACAGCTAAAGAACTCTCAAAACAGATATAAGCAACATAACTGAACAAAAATTTAGAACAATAGTCACAAAATTAATCGCTGGGCTTCAAAAAGGCATGGGAGACATCAGAGAAGCTATTGCTACAAAGACTAAGGAGCTTAAAAATAGTTGTGATGAATTAAACAAAGCTATAAATGAGGTGCATAATAAAATGGAGGCGTCCAATGCATGGATTGAAGAGGCAGAGAGGAGAATAAGTGAATTATAAGACACACTTATAGAAAAAGAGGAAGCCGAGAAAGAGAGATAAACTGATCCAGGAGCATGAAAGGAAAGTTCGAGAACTAAGCGATACAATCAAACGGAACAATAGTATCATAGGAATTCCAGAAGAAGAAGAGAGAGGGAAAGGCACTGAAGGAGTCCTTGAACAAACTATAGCAGAGAACTTCCCCAATCTGGGGAAGGAAACAGACATTGAAATCCATCAGGCACAGAGAACTCCCCTCAGATATAACTTGAATCCATCTTCTGCATGACATATCATAGTCAAACTGGCAAAATATAAGGAAAAAGAGAATTCTGAAAGCAGCTAGGGATAAAAGAGCCCTCACATACAAAGGGAGACCTATCAGAGTAGTTACAGACGTATCTACTGAAACTTGGCAGGCCAGAAAGGAATGGCAGGAAATCTTCAATGTGATGAACAGAAAAAAATATGCAGCCAAGAATCCTCTATCCAGCAAGCCTGTCATTAATAATAGAAGGAGAGATAAATGTCTTCCCAAATAAACAAAAATTGAAAGAATTTATCACCACTAAACCAGCCATACAAGAAATCCTAAGGGGGACTCTATGAAGGAAATGTTGCAAGGAACACAAGATATCAGAGACACCACAACAAGCATGAATCCTACAAAGAACACAATGACTCTAAACCCATATTTTTCAATAATAATACTGAATGTAAATGGACTAACTGCTCCATAGGTGCCCAAAGATATAGGGTAGCAGAATGGGTAAAAAAAACAAAATCCATCTATCTGCTGTGTACAAGAAACTCATTTTAGACCTGAGGACACCCTCAGATTGAAAGTAAAGGGATGGAGAACTATCTATCAGGCTACAGAAAGTCATAAGAAAGCTGAAGTAGTCATACTTATATCAGACAAACTGGAATTTAAAGTAAAGGGATGAAGAAGAGCATTATATAATATTTACAGGGTCTATCCATCAGGAAGAACTAACAATTATAAATGTCTATGCACCAAATACGGAAGCACCCAAATACATAAAAAAATTAATGACAAACAGAAATAATCTTATGGATAAGAATGTGCTAATAGCAGGGGACTTTAATACTCTACTTACAGCAATGGATAGATCAACTAGACAGAAAATCACTAAAGAAACAATGGACTTGAATGACACATTGGACCAGATGGATTTGACACATATATTTAGAACTCTACATCCTGAGGCTATAGAATTCACTTTCTTCTTAAGTGTGCATGGTACATTCTCTAAGATAGATCACATACTGGGACATAAAGCAGCCCTCAATAAATATAAAAGAATTGAGATCATACCATGCACACTTTCAGATCACAATGCTATGAAACCGGAAATCAATCACAATAAAAATTCCGGAAAACCTCCAAAAACATGGAGGTTAAAGAACACCCTACTAATGAACAAATGGGCCAATCAGACAATTAGAGAAGAAATTTAAAAATATATGGAACAAATGAAAATGAAAATACAACAATCCAAACTATGGGATGTGGCAAAAGCAGTCCTAAGAGGAAAGTATATTGCTCTCCAGGCCTATTTCAAGAAATCTGAAAAAGCACAAATACAAAATCTAACAGTGCACCTAAAGGAACTAGAAGCAGAGCAACAAGAGCACCCCAAACCCAGCAGAAGAAGAGATATAATAAAAATCAGGGAAGAAATAAACAATATAGAATCCAAAAAAAAAAGTTGAACAGATCAATGAAAGCAAGAGTTAGTTTTTTGAAAAAATAAACAAAATTGATAAACCTCTAGCCAGGCTTCTCAAAAAGAAAAGAGAGAGCACTCAAATAGACAAAATCATGAATCAAAATGGTTTTATTACAACCAATCCCTCAGAAATACAAGCAATTATCAGGGAATACTATGAAAAATTATATGCCAACAAACAGGACCATTTAGAAGAAATGGACAAATTCCTAAACATACACGCACTACCAAAATTCACACTGGAAGAGATAGAAAATCTGAACAGACCCATAACTAGTGAAGAAATTGAATCAGTTATCAAAAATCTTCCAACAAATAAGAGTCCTGGGCCAGATGGCTTCCGTGGGGAATTCTACCAGACATTTAAATCAGAGTTAATACCCATTCTTCTCAAGCTATTCCAAAAAAGAGAGATCGAAGGAAAACTTCTCAACTCATTCTATGAAGCCAGCATCACTTTGGTCCCCAAGCCAGACAGAGACTTGCAAAAAAAAGGGAACTACAGGCCAATATCCTTGATGAATACAGATGCAAAAATCCTCAACAAGATACTTACAAGTCGAATTCAACAGCACATAAGAAGAATTATCCACCATGATTAAGTGGGATTCCTTCTTGGGTTATAGGGCTGGTTCAATATTCGCAAATCAATCAATGTGATACATCACATTAACAAAAGAAAAGATAAAAACCATATGATCCTGTCGATAGATGCAGAAAAAGCATTTGACAAGATACAGCATCCCTTCTTAATAAAGACCCTCGAGAAAGTCGGGATAGAAGAAACTTACTTAAACATCATAAAAACCATTTATGAGAAGCCCTCAGCTAACATCATCCCCAATGAGGAAAAACTGAGAGCTTTCCCCCTGAGATCAGGAACACGACAGGGATGTCCACTCTCACCACTGTTGTTTAACATAGTGCTGGAAGTCCTAGCATCAGCCATCAGACAACAAAAGGAAATC